TCGGGAGGGCTCGACTTGGCGTGGCCAAGGTGGTGCTACTCATCCGCATCATCCCCCAGCCTCTTTCCATCCCACCTGGGGCCCTTTTCACCTGCACAGTGAGTCAGAAAGGGGTGGGAGCGTGGGGCAAAAGGAGCCGCAGCTTACGATGGGGATGGCCACCAGGCCAAGCGTTCCTTGGTCCGCGCGTCCAGCTCTGAGCTGGAGCTCAGCCTGGTCTGCAGCCCGGCCCAGCTCGCAGCAACAGCAGTGGCCAAACGCCCATTGATTTTATCGGTGCAAGTATGCTACCCTAATGCAGGTTTGCTTTGCGACGCTCGCCTTTAACGCATTTGTAGCTCAGCAATTAATTGCCCGCATGGAGTGGATCCTCAAACTTTCTTTGCCAGGCAGAACGCATGAAAAATTGCGTCTCGGTGCTGCCCACAGCTTCCGCGGCAGAGCTGGGCGCTCTGCCTGGCCCTGCCACAAACACCACCGATTCAGCCACTTCACCTCCTGTTGCTACAATTAGTGGCATCATTAATATAATCTTAAAGTTTTCCTGCCCCAAACCCCTTCTGGAGCGGCTCTCCCTGCTCTGCCTTTGCCACGGTGGGATGGGTTCAGCCAAGCTGGTCCTTGGCCCCTCTGCTGTCCCCAGGCTGGCATGGTGCCACACACCAAGATCCACAGATTCATCTCCCCGTGGACAGTGAACGAGCGTCAGGTGTAAACTTTTGTTTGCTGCCAGCCGAAGATGGATTTGAGCCTTGGCAACCTGGAAACAACAGGCTGCCTTGTGTCATCTCCATCCTAACCCCGGCAGATCTGCGGCAGCTCTCCGTTCCTCAGCCCCGACTCCAGCTCCTTTGCCGAGAGCGAGGGCTCCATTAGGGGAAAAGAGGAAAAAAAAAAAAGAAAAAGTTCTGGCAAGGAGCAAAACAGATGCATGACACACAGTTCTGCTCAAAAATATGTTGGGTGGCAGGGACTTGTCTGCTTTGCAGCAGAGTGACTGGATCCATACAAAACACTGCAGAAGGAGACATCCAGCCTCTTGTGGCTGCCGGGGTGTCCTGGGCGTCCCACCACCAAGGCGTTCACTGCTTGGTTCCACTCCCACTTTCCCCAAGCATCCCTGAGCTGAGTGTTTTCCCCGAGTCTCTCTCTCTCTCTCTATTTTCCCAAATGGGCTGATCTGGCCAAGGGCTGAAAGTTGAAGCCTGACATCATTTCCATCTCCAGTTTCACATTCTTGGTCTTCATGGCTCCTGCCTTTCCCTCCTTTGAACCTGAAAGCCAAGATCAGCAGGAGTCCAAAGGCAGTGGCCTAAGCTCTTCCCTTTTCCCAGGGCCCGATCCAAAACTCACATCCATGGACAAAAAGCTTCCCCTGGGCTTCCTGGAGCGGGGGAGCCTCTGCTGGGGAGGAGGGAGATGAAGGACAAGGGGAGGTCCCACCACGGGATGTGCAGTCCCCAGCACAGGTCCTGCCCTGAGCAATGGGGTTGGGGTGGGGGTGGCTGGAGGGAACAGGGTGAAGCATTAACCTCCCATTGCCTCATAGCAGGTCAAACCTCCTCAGCTAGTTTATTTTTTTCGAAGGTCCCTCACTACGAGGGGATGGGTCTGGGGGTGCAGACCCCCTGCTGTTGTTCAGGGGCCCCCCCCGTGGCGGTGCCTGTGCAGGCGCCTCGCTGCAGGGAGGATGCGGAGGACTCCTCCTCTCCGTAAAGGTCGCCAGCCCCTGTTCTAAACCCTCAGGTACATTTATACTTAATCCCTCGCACAAACAATTTTCCAGGCATATTTTGGTCTTGAAAGGACACCGCCAAGGTGAGCCGGCTCCCCTGTGGTTAGTGGGATGGAGCTGCTGTCAAGCAGCTCGAGCAGGAGCAGCGCGGCCCCTGGAGCGGCCGCATCCATCATCTCCCCGGGGCATCGCTCATCAAAAGCTCTCGGGCTGCTGGCAGGGACCCCGGAGGGTCCCCGCTCTCACCGCTGCGGAGCTGCACGCCGGGACCCCCCCGGCCCCGCAGGGAGAGGAGAGCATCCTCCCGGGCAGGGTGCAGCCAGAAGGACAGCGTGTTTCCCCAGGGTTTGTGCCAGGCGCGGTGGAGGGGCGAGAGCCGAGGCCGGGGCGCGCTGCCCTCCCGGGAGCTGCACGGCGCGTCCCAGCAGACACACGCTTATGTTGGTGTGGGCCGCTCGGCTGAGGCCAAGCGCTCCGTGCCCAGCTGCCTACGGTCCCAGCCCCCTCCAGATCTGATCCCCCAGCGTCCCCATCCTTGGTGGGCTGCCACTCACTGTGTTATTCCGCCAGGAGCACATCTGGATCCTCTCAGCACCGGCAGCAGAGGTCTTGGCCTGCAAATGCCACCCGAGGTCGGGAGCTCGCGGGGGTCCGCAGCCCCCCCCGGCCAGAGCCGCACCTGGGCAGTCGGTGCCAGCCCCGCAGATGTTATTCTGGAGAGCGCTTAAGGAGCTGCGTGTCACTATAGCGTTTTGGTAGTGCATTAAACAACATGACTAACGTTTGTCACATGTTTGTTCTCTCATCCTGTCCCCGGGAGGAGAAGCGTGTGTGGGGGAGTGCTTTATTTTCCATTTTAGAACATCTATACGTTTTCCTTGGTGTTTATGGCAGTGGGAGGAGTGGCAGAACGGGGGCTCAGAATGCTGGTGTGAGATAGGGATGTGAGGGGCAGCTGGACTGGCTGCGCAGGAGCAACCCTGCCCCCGGCCCCCAGCCTGGCTGCTGGCAGTGGGGTGCAGGATGGTGGTAGGACCCCCTTGCTGGGGACCTATAGGAGGATCTGCTGGAGAAAGCAGCAGGAGGACTAGAAACCCCGTGCGGGGGTGAGCAGGACCTCTACGAGCTGCTCAGTGGCTCATTCCCTGTCTCTGCCCACTGGGGGAACGGCTCCCCCCACACCTTAAAATATGGAGTGCTGTGGGATGGGATGGGACAGAACGAGACAGGATGGAACAGGATGGGATGGGATGGGATGGGATGGGATGGGATGGGATGGGATGGGATGGGATGGAATAGTCTGCCACTGTGTCTGTGCAATGCCTCCAAAGGGCTGCAGAGTCTTGGCTGGAGCCTCTGGGCGGGCCAGGGATATAAATAATTAACAATAATAATAATTATTGAGTGGGACTTTGCAGCATGTGGCTGTGCTATAAGGTCATGGCAACAAGATCCCCTCCTTGTGCGTGTGAAAGCCGAGTAAGAGGTTTGGATGTCGGGGCAGAGCTGGAAAACCATTTAGCGAGAAACTGGGAGGTTCAGGCTGTGTGGCCGTTCGGCAGCGGGAGGAACACCGGCCCTGCAGAGCCCGGCACGGCCCGCGAGGCAGGGAGGGATGTGCATCCCTGCCACGGCGGGCAAGGGCAGCACCTGCCTCTCCCACGGGACGTTGGCAAAGAGCAGCAGCCCAGACAAAAGGGTCATCCAAGTCACTGTCTTCCTGCAAGATATGTTGGTTTGGGTTAAAATGGGTTTTTTCGGCTCTTGGCCAGGCGTGGCTTGTCCCCAGGGTGTCCCCGCAGGGCCAGGACTCTGCTCTTGGCGCAGGCAGGGCGGTGGGATGGGTAGGAGGGTTCGTGCAGCCCCCTCCTAGCTTCTCACATTTTAGCTATTAGTTTCCATCAGTGGATAAACACGTAAGAAGGAGGCAGAGAGTGCGACTGTGGTCAGCCCAGAGCCGTGCTCAGCCAAACCATGTGCCTTGGGCTTGACCCCACCGCAGCCGGCAAGAACTGATCCACTTACGGGGCACAAGAAGCAGGAGCCGCTCCTTTGAAGTCCACGGAAACAAGTCCCCCCCGCTGAGCAGGAGACCCTGGCTGCGTTAATGAAAAAGACAAAAGAAATAAAGATATTTTTGTATTAATCTTAGTGTTTTACAGCTGTCGACACTGAGAAATTAATCTCCATATCCATTGCATCAGTTATTAAGCAATGGCTGTTCCAAAATAGCCCGTGCAGATGCTCTGTTCTGAGCCACAAGTCGTTTTGTGCCAGAAAAATGCCTCTGCTTTGGAAGTGCAGTAATATCCTGGAGTAACATAAGAAAACAGTTTTTACATCAGCAAATTCTCTGCAATAACCGTTGCAGAATGGCTTATTCGTGGTGACCACTCCTGACAACTCTTTAATGTAGACAAGCCTTTAGCTTGACAGGCCGTCGATCTGGTGGGGGTTCAAGCCCAGGAGAGCAGGGCTGGGATTCCTCTTTTTGCTTCCCCCCCCACTTTTTCCCATGCTGATGTCTTACCGTCCCGCTGGGAGCCCTACCTGCAGAGCCCAGGAAAGGTTCTTTCAGGAGAAGTTGGGAAGGGTACGAGGAGAGGGTTTTTTTTTTTTAAAAGGTGAATTTCTATCAGATCGAGCTGTTGGGCCAAGAACCCCCCGAGGGCAGCTGGCTTCCACCTCCACGCTGGTGCTGGGAAAACGTCCTCTCCTTTATTGCCGGCTTCGCTTTTATTTTGTTTTCTTTACCCTCCAGGAAGGGAGTTGGTCATTTCTTTTCACTTGGACCTTCTAAAGGGCTAACTGTGCATCTGAGGGTATGCCGTACCCTTGATGGTAGAAATCTGTGGGTTTATAGTTATTACCTATCTAATGCTGTCTCTGTTTCCATAGAAACTCTATAAATAGAATAAAATTTAAATCACAATTTCCTGAAGTAGCAATTCAGCACCGTAGATTTATTTTATATTTCTCAGGAAAAACCAAAAGGATAGAAATTTTCATTATGAATGGATAACAGAAGGATTAAAGGGTTTGCCTATAGTGTTTAGTGACACAGGATCTAATTGCTGATTCCTTGTCAATATTACAGGTGTGATGAGAATTAGGGCCTTATGGATTTGGACCTGGTGGCTTTAATGCCTGGGGGTTTTAGGAGATGGTTTCCTTTCTGTATGGCTGTGAAATCCTCCACAGTCTGCAGCTCCTGGAGGTCGTGTCTCAAACATCACTGCTTTTCTAAAAGCTGGGGCTTTTGCCAAATGTCCGCTGGGGCTATAAGTAGCTCCCGGTTTGGAGCCCGCTTCACGCTGGTTTTCAAGCATGAGTAAATGGCAGCGCTGCAGTCGTGAGAACCAGCATCCCTGGGGAGAGCCCCAGCCGCAGTAAATCAGTGGTGAAATGCCCCTGAACGTCAGCAGGGTCAGGACTAGCGTCCTCAAAGGTAGGGTGCTCGGCTTAACTCCAAAATCGAGACAGAGAGCAGCAGGGCAGACCTGTGCCTTGTGATCTGCTGAGTTCCTGGTAGCTGAGGCTGCTTCAGGAGGCGAGAAGATCTTTCAGCATCCCAAGATCATGTACTTGCTGTCTGGGAGCTGTGATGGACCAAGGGTCTGAGATGTGGGATCCGCTGAGCCCTTTGCAGATGCTGGAAGTTGCTGCCCACGCCGCTGCCCCCCGGTCGACCACGTGCAGGGGATTGAGGAGGGCACCCAGCCAAAATCTCCCATGAATGCAAATCTGGGCGTTCCAGTGGCTGCGGGGAAAATGCTCCGGACTGACCCGGCTGTAATCAAGAGCACGATCTGTTCCACCATCCATATTGCATGACTTCACTGCGGCCGCAGCTAGCGTCCACCCCGATTCCCAGGAGCTGGCACAAGAAAAGTTCTGTGGGAACATGAGTCTCAGCCCCCTGGGAGAGGAAGACCCGGGGGTACCCAGGGGACTGGCGTGCCCCATCTCCTGCTGGAAACCAGTTGCTGCCCAGCAGGGACTGGATTTGGTGGCACTGGGCCACGAGCTGTGATTTCACCCCAGTAAGTGAGGCCAGCCTGGTCTGTGCTGTGCTCGGAGGCCATGGAAGATCCCCCGGGCAGAAGCCCTCCCCAGTCCTTCCTGGAGCACGTTTCGG